TAATCCAGTTTAGAGAAGTCAAGGATAATGGGGAAAAATAAATGTGACCAATTTGAGAAATAATATGGAAAATAGTGAATAAATATTACTAAGAATTTGGTACATCTGGATCTTCTCTTTAGGAATATGTGGCACACATAATACATTTTGGAGGCATTAGCAAAGAATGGAAAAGCTTTCCATTCTTGATGGTACAATAGGTACCATCGCAGCCCCTGAATGTCCTGGTGACTCAGGGCAAATCTCTGAATCTGTTTGGTACTGGTTCCCTCATCTGTGAAGGACAGAGATGAGATAGGTAATCTTGAAAGATTTTTCTAATGCTAAATTGACGTTATTCTAAGTAACCCTGTAGCCTACCATAGATACTACCCTTACTCATTTATTTAATGATGTGTAACTCACAAATAGTAAGTTTGTACATGCACAGATCTTATGTGTAAAGCCCCATGAATTTTTATGTGCATCTGAAATCACCACCAAATCAAGACATAGAACATTTCCAGCACCCCAGAGGTTTCCTTGTACCCATTCCCAGTCAATGCCCTCTTAAAGGTAGTCATCTAATCTGACATCTAGTAGATTTGATTTGCCTGTTATTGAACCGCATCAACATGGAATCATACAGTATTCAATATATTATTATTTAACTTAGTTATTAGTGTCATTCAGGGACTTCCCTGGTGGTCCAGTGGGTAAGACTCCACGCTCCCAATGCAGGGGGGCCTGAGTCAACCCCTAGTCAGGGAATTAGATCCCGCATGCATGCCGCAACTAAGAGTCTGCATGCCTCAACTAAGAGTCCACACACCATGACGAAGATCCCATGTGCCACAACTAAAACCTGGAGCAGCCTAAATAAATAAATAAATACTTTAAAAAATCGTGTTATTCAAAATAGTGGTGTGTTGTTATGCAAATTTATGTGGTCTTTGTGTTTTATGCAAAGGTGGTTCCTGTAATTTTATTTATCTTGCTGAAAGTTACTTGGGTAATTTTCTTCCAAGTGAGAATATCCTCCCTTCTCAAATAGGACTGTCCAATTTTCTCTCAATATCAGGATCCAGTTCAAGTTCACTGTCTCTGTGGAGCCTTTTCATAACTATTCCAGTTCATATTATTGCCTTGTTTTCCGACCTCCATGTAGTTCTTGGGCTATAATACTTAGCAAGGACATTAATCATACAGTACTTCAGATTATTTAACTGTTCCACATATTCGTAGTGTCTTCTTTCTAAAAAATTGCATGTGCCAATGAAAAGACAGATTGATCTGTTACTTTTTAAAATCCCAGAATAATGTAAATACCACTGAATAAAACTGAGTGACCCGGGCTTCCCTGGTGGCGCAGTGGTTGGGAGTCCGCCTGCCGATGCAGGGGACACGGGTTCGTGCCCCTGTCCGGGAGGATCACACATGCCGCGGAGCGGCTGGGCCTGTGAGCCATGGCCGCTGAGCCTGCGCGTCCGGAGCCTGTGCTCTGCACAGGGAGAGGCTACAACAGTGAGAGGCCCGCGTACCGCAAAAAAAAAAAAAAAGAGTGACCCTATGCATGTATGTATGTTTTTCTTTCAGTGAAACATAACCACTGTTTCAGAACGTAGGCTCTGGGGTCAGATAGCCTGAGAGTAGGTTGGGGCGACCTTCTACAAGCAGTGGGCTCATGAGAAATTATTAAATCTTGATTTTACCATCCTTAAAATTGAGTTCATGGCAGCATTTACACATGTATATACAGTGCTCAGCACTTTTTGTCTGGACTAGGATTTTCGATCTTATTCAATCTTAGCTATTGGAAAACCATCCTTTATATGTTGTCCTATCACATCTTATATAAATGTTCTGGTTGTAGGATTGAGCTAGTGAATTGTGTTTAAATGCTTGTCCCTCAGAAAATTGTTTCAGAGTGACACCTTTTAGATGATCAGTGAAAGAAATAACTTTCTTTCCCGCTTAGGCCCCTATGTGTTGGTTTTAATCCATGCTACTAGCAGGAATTGCTTACATTCTGATGTAGCATTACCTGGGCTCCTAGTAGTTCAATGCTGTGATAGGTGTGTTCATGCAGTATTAGTTTTTTAGTAGATGACCTAGGTCCTGGGTAACAGCTTAATGGGTATGATATAAAATATCACTATCCAAATATCTAGAGTCGTTTTTTCTAAAAGGCTTTTTTTTCCAATAAAATCTTTGAAACTAATAAAATTAGAAGTAAAATATCAAAAAATATCAAACTATGTGTTTTTCCGAGTGACTTTTAAGCACTTTCAAACTCAAGGAAATGAGATATTTATTTGTATCCAAAACTATAGTAATGAGTATACAATTTGGCTGAAAATTTTCTAGAGGAAAATTAGACGAGCATATATTAAAAATTAATGCAATTCTTCTTTTGAGGATTATAATGGAAATGAATCTTATTCTTGCCTACGTATATTCTTAAAGTACTGACCATTTTATATTGAGCCTTGAGATGTAGGTTGAAGGAAAGAAGAAGCACATCTCCACACACTGATGTGGTCACAATACAGGGTGCAAACCTGTGCCATGTATCTCTTCCTAAATCAGCCTTATGCTCAAGTCTGCATACCATTAAACAAACAAAAAAACAAAAACCCTTTTCATTTTTCATGGACTTTCAGATGAATGTGGCTTTCCTACCATATTAAAGCTAATTGAATTCTGACATAATACTCCATTCTTCTCTTCTGTTCCAATTCCTGGGTATTTATATAGCAATTTTGGTCATATTTTGGTAATGATGTAGATTTATGGAGGATTATAACAGATGATTCATACAAAATCTTTTTTTTTTTTTCTTTCATTTCTGGAATCCTCTTGGCATGACTTCCAAAACTCAGCCACTAATAGAACATAAATACAGAGTGGCTATGTTTCTATTTCTAGAGAAGAGTAGAGTAACTATAGTACTGAGATCCTGGGGGTGGTTGGATTTTGGTACTTCCAGATTGGCAAAACATACTCATTTGAAACTTTTTAGGGTCATGTGTGTTCTATGTTTATCTTGGTGATTTGTCAGAACATGGCTGGACTTTGGCAACTCTGTTTACATATACATTTTATATTTTTTCCTTTAAATTTTTCCTACTTTTTTTGGAGAGATTCATTTGTGTTCTAAGAACATTCTGGGAAAGTTGAGAAGGAACAGGTCTAGAGCAAACACGTAAAACTTCTAGATATTGGGCTTCCCTGGTGGCGCAGTGGTTGGGAGTCTGCCTGCTGATGCAGGGGACACGGGTTCATGCCCCGGTCCGGGAGGATCCCACATGCCGCGGAGCGGCTGGGCCCGTGAGCCATGGCCGCTGAGCCTGCGCGTCCGGAGCCTGTGCTCCGCAACGGGAGAGGCCACAGCAGTGAGAGGCCCGCGTACCGCAAAAAACAAACAAACAAACAAACTTCTAGATATTGTTTTTGTTCAACTTGCTGACAACATTTTCAAAACTCTTTCTCTAAAACATTGAGCCCTTGCTGTCTAGATGTTCACTGGGTAACATGGTATTAAAGTTGGAGCTAGACTGCATTTTGATATTCTTGCAATGGAAATAAATCTTTTGTATTTAAGGGAGAGAAGGATCTGTCCCAGTCTGTGAAGTAATACAGAAAAAAAAAAAAAAAAGACTACACCAACCTGAATATGTAAGTTTAAACTTGTCACTTAAAAGTGTTCATTTCGGGCTTCCCTGCTGTCGCAGTGGTTGAGAGTCCGCCTTCCGATGCAGGGGACACAGGTTCGTGCCCCGGTCCGGGAAGATCCCACATGCCGCGGAGCGGCTGGGCCAGTGAGCCATGAGCCTGTGCTCCGCAGCGGGAGAGGCCACAACAGTGAGAGGGCCACATACCGCAAAAAAAAAAAAAAGTGTTTTTTTCACCTTTTAATCTAAATTTGGAAACAGCCAATAACCAGCTTCCTTCATGTTTGCAAAGGAAAACCAACTTACTTTTTTTAAAAACCGAGATTTATAATCTTTTCAACATTTACCAAATCTATACTGAGAGCCTGCTATGTGCCAGATGCTTTGTTAAGACCCAGAGACTTAGTGGTTGAGCAGAAGAGATGCAGACCCTACTCTGGACTCCTGGAGCTTACAAAAGAGAGTCACACATTTTCTTCATGTCTTTTTTTTCTTTTGCAAAGCAATTTACACTCTAATTACATATAATTGACTTTTCAATATAATATTTGTATATGTATGTTCTTATTTATATCACATAAATGATGACTGATTCAAGCATGTAGTGATTCAAACTATTATGCTTAGATTTTATGAAATGTGCTTTATAGAAAAGAAATCTTCATATTAATTCTCAGTGTTTTTGAATGTTTATACTTTATTGCTGTCAAATAAAGATACAAATAATTGCTAAATAATGCTGTCTATAAATATTCATGACAAGACAATGTATATCCAAACTGTATTTTAAATACATACACTCTAATCAGAGGCAGACTCTAAAATGATAATTAATATAGCTGGCATTTGCATCAACAAAGGTCATTTATAGAAGATGCTTTTATCAAGTTAAGCACAGTTATAGCACATGTGGATGCTGGATAATTAAAATAAATTTTGCATAAGAGTTTACTTTAGAAATTGACACAGGTAAGTATTTTCATTTCCATATGCTTGGAGTAATTGTATTTTAATATCTTTTTCTTCTGAGAAGTAGTTACTTCATTTATTTTTTATGAGAATTCAATATATTTAAATTTGTTCTTTTTCCAGATATATTAAGGAGCTAGTAGATACTGTAACTCTGAGCTGTATTTATTCCCAGCTGAGACATATTTAATCATGTTTGGTATTATATTGGTGGACCGGGCTTGGTTTGGGTGTTACATTCTTTACTTTCTGCGTCTCTGTTGACAAGATCATGAGTGTTACATTTTATGCATATCTGCTTGGTAGACTATGTAAGGTGCCACCCAGTTAGTTCCCTCTTCTGGATTACAGGAATTACTCTCTTACCTGCTGGGAATGATGTTGGAAGAAGGCCATCAGCTAGCAGCCCTTTTTGGGGACTATGTCAGACTCCCTGCCCTGATCAGCCCACAGCCAATGGCTGAGCGCCATGGGTACGAAGGCCCAGGTGGTCTCTGCAGCGCCGTCTGGCTCTGGAGCTCCTGTGGAATCACCCGAGGCTGTTGGGGGGTTGGGATTGCAGCGCAGGTCAGTTTCTCTGCTACCTACTCCTCACTTCCATAGGTGTTGATGCCAAGAGCATGCCCAAAGGAACCCTCCATCTCAGAGGGTGCTGCCTGGGAAACTCAAGCTGTGAAATCTGCCCAGAAGTCAATGTCTTGATTGCAATTGCATGCTGACAGTAAGTTCCAGCAGCTATTACTACATTGACATTTATTCTGGTCACTGAGTTGATGTCAATAGTCATGAAGATAGAGCATCTTGATTTTGCTCAAATTTTCTAACTCCCTATAACAATCAGCTTCTTCATTTCATCATGGTTAGCTGATGAATAATATGGCAAGTAACTCATCAGAAGAATAAAACATATCTATAGTGATCACATTTTTCTTTATTGACAGTCTTCGTGCTCTTTTGACCTGCAGATTGAGCAGGCTGTGGTCTGCTTTTAAACAAAGGAAAAGATGAAACAGACGCACTAGAACGTCTGAAACAGCTGTTGCCATGGAAGATGCTTCTTTTTTTTGTTGTTGTTGTTGTTGTTGTTGTTGGTACGCGGGCCTCTCACTGTTGTGGCCTCTCCTGTTGCAGAGCACAGGCTCCAGACGCGCAGGCTCAGCGGCCATGGCTCACGGGCCCAGCCGCTCCGCGGCATGTGGGATCTTCCCGGACTGGGGCACGAACCCGTGTCCCCTGCATCGGCAGGCGGACTCTCAACCACTGCGCCACCAGGGAAGCCCTGGAAGATGCTTCTTTTGAATTTTACATGAGGACATTTACTCCCTCCTCGACATTGCAAAGTACAGGAGTGACTGAGGTAGCTGTAAAACTCCTAACACCCCTTCCCCAGTTGAATGCACGGCATCGCTGTTTGGCATCTGTTAGAAAGTAACCCCTCTGTAGCAAAGCAAGGAAAAGTCTGTGAATTATAATTGCTCTCTGCAAACATGTTTGATGATTAGCACAATCTCTCAAGCAAGCTGTAAAGAATAGAAACTGCACTTAGGGAGTTAATATAGCAATCCCGCTGTTTCCCTAGGCAGTTTTTCCAGGTGCGACGTCTGCTGCTCTCAAACAAAACCTACAGTTTCGGAATAGAGTGAGCCGTGCGCATGGATCAGTGGTAAACCCAGAGAAGTGGGGCACATCCAAGAGAAACAAGATGAAAAATTCATCCAGAGACAGAAATCTGGACGTGCACCAAACAACTTTTCATCAGTGTGTCTGTCCGGGAGGAAACATTTTCCAGTGGCCTCCTTCCTTTTTTCTTTCGAAATGAGCTCAACTGCAGTGTTCCCAGGCGCTGTCACCGGCAAACTGCTTGAGGCGCAGAGAAACATGGATAAGTGATGCTGTTTGTTTAAGGTATCCTACATGCTCCGCACCCTCAAGTCATTGTCAAACCTAATGAAGAGCCAATTCTAACAAATTTCTCTGCCGTCCACGTGGAGATTTGAGGTTGTGATTTTCCTAATATTGCAGGACTCGGGGTCAGGTGGACAGGGCAGATGTAGGGGGAGAAAGCACTATGATATAGGCTCATCTCTGTTAGGGAAAGGGCAGAATTTTTGGAACTCTGCCCTTTAACTGCTGTCTCTCATTCATTTAATTTGTGACTTATGTGCCTTCCAGCTTCAACTGTGGATGCCCTGAAGGCAGCTGCAGCAGGCCTGGTGCCAGCAGAGGGCACATCGCTGAGTCCAAAGCCACCTGTCCATCAGAAATGTACCAACTCGGCTTCCAGATGCTGGCCTTAGTCTCAACCTGATGCTCTTTGGCTTAAGTGGATAAACTGCCCCTATCAGGTAGGAACAGTTAGAAGTCAGAGACAATGAAAACACACAGGGCTCAAGTGTTTTGCACCAAGCAGTGTTTACAGGAACAGGAAAGCTGGTGAGTCATCTTCTGTTTTTAAATGGGTACTACCAAGAATTCATATGTGCACATTGCCACTCCATGCATTTAAATCGACTGAGCATTACATATGAATGTGTTCAGAGGATGAACAGAATGCTGCTTACCAGCATTAATTACATTATTAAATATATAACTATAATAGAGTGATTTCAAAAGTCTCCTGAGAAGGTGGGGATTTAGAAAGATATTTTGCCGTAGCTGTTTCATTTTTAGCTACCTGGGCAATAGGGGGCCTGTTCCGTATTCAGAAGGCAGCAGGGGATGTGAGGGTCACCGTCATCAATATTCCTGAATCACAGCAAGCCCACTGCAAGTGGCGGTTTGTTAATAGGCCACGATGCAGGCTGTAGCCTGAAATAATGGAAAAGAAGCAGGGCTCAAGGAGGAGAGAAAGGAGAGCAGTGATGCTGGTGGAGAATTCAGAAGGAGCTGTGTGGTTTTCTGAATGCTCTGTTGCTCTCCGGTGCGGGTGTTCCACGGATGATTTTAAAGTTATTTCATCCTGCTTCTTTGCAGGGTCCCTCAATTTGTCATCAGCAAACTGGATGAGCGTGCCTTGTGCATATTCATTCAAGTGATGTAAATATTGAACAGAAAGGGACCTATTGGTATGTGTCAAGGAATCTTCCTCTGGGGTGACCCTGTTCCATTAATCAGTGTTCTTTGACATGGTTGTTAAAATATAAGTCCTACTAATTGCCTTAATTCAACTTGCATTTCTTATGTTACCTATGAGACCAAGACTTGCTGCGTGACTTGCTGAATACACTTTGCCATTTTGGCAACTCAGCAGAGTACAGTGTGAAAGCACAGACTTTCAAGCTAGCGTGCCTGGGTTTGAATCTGGGCTCAACTATGTACTAATAGCTGTAGGTCCTTGGGCCAGTTACTTAACTTCTCCGTGCCTTAGTTTCCTTACTAGTAAAGACGATAGTGTATTCCTCATAGGGGTTCTGTGTGTATGAATGAGATGCATTACTGTGTACTCCTAGAACAGTGCTGAGTCTGTAGTCAGTGCTGTCCAAGTGTTTGCTGTCGTCATTGTCACCATCATCACCAAACAAATGGTGACCTGTCATAACTTTTTGGTATTGAACCTGCATTGCTCCCCAACATCACTGTTCATTTCAAGGAGAGCACAAAATAAAAGTGTAAAAATCAGTTCTAGAATTTTCCTGCAAATCATCCCTCTTTTACAGCACAAATTATATGAACTAGGAAATGCTCAATGGATATAAAATATGTAGTGAATATTAGATATTTAAACTATGTGTTCTCCCAGAATAGGGCATTAATAGGTTTTTCTACCAGTAGCTGAAGTTGTCACAAGTGGGGAAAAGCATATGGTTCTGCCACAGCACTGTGTGTCCTTAAGTAGCTTACTTCACCTCTCTGAGCCTCAGGTTTTATTTTTTTTTCTTTGTCTTCTTATAAGAGTGAGAATATAAATTTATTGTCTTCGTTTATTCCAAGGCAGTATATCGAGTAACTGATATGTATCTTACATAATCTAGGTCCTAGACACGTTTTATTCACGTTGAATAATGTGAAAGTCTTTGCTGTGACAACAAATAGATATAAAAGTCATCTATACATTAAGTGATAAAAAGCGCTGTAGGAATATAAAGCAGAATAAGGGGCTTAAGAATGATATGGAGCAAAGGGCAGCAGATATGATAGCTTTTCTGACAGTGGATGTTCGCATATTTGAAACTTCTTAGTCATATATAACACTATGAATTTTTGGAGTGGAACTGAAAGGTGAGGAAATCTCTTTTAAAGCTGTCCACAGGCACTTGGGGTTCTTCCCCAAGTATCTTCTTCTTGGGGCTCCCATAGCACAGCTTGTGATGTGCTAGGGGATGTTCACCTCCAGGTAAGAAGCATGGATGACCAGGTCCTCAAGAAAAGGGCATTTGCCCATGTTTTCATGGCTTCAGCATCCCTTCATGGGAAAAGAAGATAATGATGCCTGTAATTATTTTATCAATGAATTGTTTGCTTTGAAATCATTCCAAATAAACTTACTACTGGAACTACCAATATTTTCCATGTAGACACTTTCATTCTCACCTTGAAACTCCTTAGCTGAAGCATCAGCAGTGGACTGGGTTACTTTCTTTGTACCCTTCAGAACTTTCTTCAGAGAAGTTGGAAATGCCCTTGGGCCTTTTCATTTGTTGTAGCTTAGAAAGAGCCCGGTGCGACCAGAGACCGTGGCAACCGAAAGTGATTTCTGGGCTATTCGAAATACTTCATAAAAGCTCCGGGAACCTTGACACCTTAAGTGCTGCAGATGTGATCTTAACATAGGGCTGTGGCTCACCTGGCAAAGCCCTGTGCAGCACAATTGGATTTGTTCCTCAAGAAATGGCAGCAAGGCGCTGAACGATTCATAGTCTGAGCTTTGGTCAGAACTTGTAGGACTCCAAATTGTCCATGGCTGGTACAAAAGACCCCTTGCTGACAGGTCCTCCCAGCATTCTTGGGGCCATTTCATCTGTTTTGCCGGTCGTTATTCTTTTACGAAGAGCTCTCAATGTATAAGTAAAAAGTGGAAGTTGGACAGGGAGATTGGACCTGAACTTCAGTCTGTTTTCTTTATTTGCTTCTCAAATGGGCTTGTCTGAATTTCAAACCATGTTAGTTTGCTTACTTTGGCTGAATTCCTTTCTTTGGTTGATTAATCCTTGATATTAGATCATAGTTGGTACAAATATCATTTTCAATGATTTCCAAAGAGATCTTTCAGGGAATATTCCTAGCTTTCAGGGAACATTCTGGGTTTCCCCTCCAAATTTATAAGCCTTGTCAATATTACCCAGGACTTGGAGGTCTGAACAGGCCTCCCATGTAGTACGTTCTCCTGGTTTTGCCCTTTGAATGTGCTCTATGGAATAGACCCTGGGTTTTTAGATTCGACAGGGACATTAAATCCTGTTTCAGCTTAATATTTCTTATGCGTGTAGTTGGACAGATGAATGATATAAAATAATTGCTGCCGACTTTATAAAGTTTAAAGTTCTCTTATGTAGAGGAAATGTTTTAAAATACTTTAAGGTCTCAAATTTGCACAGCACTTGAGTAAGTCATCACCACCACTAGACCACCTACTCAGGTTCAGTGCTGTTTTTGAAAGTGCTTTCTATTTGGATTTTCAGAAATGCAAGTGGCATGAGGCAGAGTAAATAGTCATCATCTGTTCTCTTCCAGGATAAGATTACACGATGGTTGCTTAGGTGATGTCCTACGCAGACTATGTGTGTAAACATGGATTTAAAAAATCTCCATAGATATACCCTGGGTCGGAGAGGTCGAAAATTCATGGTCTTGGTTTCTCCCAAAAGTGTACTGGCAAGCTTGTGGGTGATAGGAATGTAAACAGTGAAACAGACCTCCTACCAGTGGTGATCAGAAAAAAAAAGAATGGATGCCTGGCACCCAAGGTACTGAAAGGCAAAACTAAGTGGAAAATGCCCCAGTAGGCACATGTGTCTGCCAGTGCATCGTGTGACTCGGCTTCTCTTTCTGTGAGTTTCCTATTAACATCATCAAATATTTATAACTTACCTCCTCCCTTTTCAGAACTGTCAGTTGATTCTATTCAATACTGAGTCATTTGGTGCTAAGTACCCGGGTCCTCTGTTGGTGCTCTGGGAGAGATAGGATGTTCTGATTTGGGTCTCAGCAATGCCTCTGTGGCTAGTCCGTCCTTACCCAGGTATTGGTGGTGTTGAGAGACAGAGAAACAGGGGACAGAGTTTGCAGATTTCCTTTCTCTTCTTTTCCTGGAGTGGCTACAATGAAGATAAGATAAACCAGCAGCTCCTGTGCAAGGCATTCCCAGCTTCTCCAGTGGTGGAAAAGTGCTTCTAAAAAAAAGTCAATGACAGGGCTTCCCTGGTGGCGTAGTGGTTGAGAGTCCGCCTGCCGATGCAGGGGACATGGGTTCCTGCCCCGGTCCGGGAAGATCCCAAATGCCACGGAGCGGCTGGGCCCGTGAGCCATGGCCGCTGAGCCTGCGCATCCAGAGCCTGCGCTCCGCAACGGGAGAGACCACAACAGTGAGAGGCCCGCGTACCGT